ATTAAATTTAGCTATGCTTTCCCTTGCTAGTAATATTTTGTAAAGTCCTGTGTTCTCTTGCTAGTAATGTTTTGTAAAGTCCTGTGTTCTCCAAATGACTCATGTTCCAAGTTGAATTTGCCCTTACTGAACAAGTAGCTTTTAGTGGTTCCAAGAGCAAAAGAAAACAAAAACTTTTAAGCAAACTATTCACACTACCTAGGTCCCTTATCTCTTTATTAAAGCTTTCCCCAACTGTGTTTGTTAACTAAATCTCCATGAAAATTTCTAGTGAGAATAATGTATTGGAAAGGACCATGGTCATTTGCTATGATTTATATCTAAAATGCTCCCCAAAGCCCATGTGCTAAAGGTCTGGTTGCCAGCTGATGGGCTTTTGGGAAGTGACTAGATCATGAGGGTTCTGACCTAACCAATGGATTAATCCACTGACAGATTCATAATTTGATGGCATTACTGGGAGGTGGTGAAAACTAGGAGGTAGGGTCTAGTTGTAGGAAGTGGGTGACTGGGGGTATGCCCTGGAAGGGACTATCTTGTCCCTGGTCCTACCACTCTCCCTCTTTCTTCACTTGCTGGCCATGAGGTGAGTAGACTTCTAAACCATATACTTCTGCCACCATGATATTTTGCCTTGCCTCATGCCCAAATAGGAAGCCAGCCAACCATGGGTTGAATCTTTTGAAACAGTGAGTCAAAATAAACATTCTTTCCTTTAAGTTTTTTTTTTTTTTTTTTTTTTTGGCAGTACTGGGGGTTGAATCCAGGACCTGGAACATGCTAGGCAAGTACACCAGCACTGAATTATATCCCTAGCTCTTAAGTGTTTTTTCTTGGGTATTTTGTCATGGTGGTGGAAATCTGATTAACACAGCATTCAAATTACTTACGTTTGAATCCCATCCTCATTGCTGCTTGAAAGAACATATGTTCATCCTGGACCGACCAAAAATACTGCTGAAAAAAATGTCAGTGATCTGCTGCCTGTTATTTTTTTATTGGTGCAGGATCAGGCCCTGGCAGCTTCTTTTAATAAAGACCAAGTCTTTAGATTAGGCCCAACACCATATCCTGTTCTCACCCTCACCAGACAATTTTCACGTCTCCCAAGGACCCAATAATGATTTCAGGGAAGGCTGCAGGACATGAAAGCATTGCAGATACTCTAGGACAAGTAGTTTTGAATTATACTCTAACTACACATTTTATTTTTGTGGTGCTGGGGATCAAACCCAGGGCTTTAAGTGTGCTAAGCAAGCACCCTACCACTGAACTATACCCTCAGCCCCAACTACACATTATAAAAGCACAAAGAACTTGAAGCCTGTTGTGTTTAGTGATTTTAGTGATATGAAAGATGGTCCATTTTCTGTGTATTTTACGATACTAAATTGTGTCAAGCAAGAATGTCCTTGAAACAGAACTATAAATTATGTTAATGATTAAATTTAACAGATATCAAAATTTTCATTCTTCACATTTTTAAAGGTCTAAATCAGTTTAAGGGCTGGTGGAGTGGCTCAAGTGGTAGAGTGCCTGCCTAGCAAACATGAAGCCCTGAGTTCAAATCCCAGTACCACCAAAAAAAAAAAAAAGCTAAATCAGTTTAAAAGTTTGAAAGGTGATATCTAGAGCAAAAATATATGTTTGAAGCCACAAAACATCTTTATTAAAAATATGCATAATCTGAATCAAGTACTAATCAAGGCAAAATGATCAGAGTAAATCAATGTAGGGTTAATAATCCACATTAAAGGATAGATCGCTAGCCATAACAGCTAACATTTATTGGGCACTGTCTTTGTACCAAGCACTTTCCTGTATTATCTTCTTTCATCTTCGTAATTATCAGTCCATTAATTAGGATCCCCATTTCATAGGTGAGTAGACGGAGGTACAGGATAGTGAAGGTAGGGGTCCACAAGAGAGTAAGAAGTTCCAGCTAAGAAGTGAGGTAACAAGGCTGGAAGCTTGTGATCTGAATGGCTCTGCCACAGCTGTCTCTGTATACTACTCTGAACAATAATGTAAAGATTAGGGAGTAAGGTTAAAGATGGAGATTTCCATAAAATTCCATTGTTTGATGGCTTGTTATCTAGATCATGATAAAACAAATATGTAACATATTGTCTTCACAGAGATGGCAAAAGCTGTGTGGTTTAACTTATGTCCCAGTCACAGACTGCATTTGCGAAACAAAGAAATTTCTCACTGAGTGACTGTATTAGTTTCTTAGAGCTGCCATAACAAAGATCCACAAACTGAGTGGCTTAGAACAGAAATTTATTGTTTCGAGGTTCTGAGGGTCAGATGTGCAAACTCAAGGTGCCAGAAGCACCATGAACTGTCTGAAGGAGCTAGGGAAGGATTTGTTCCAGGCCTCTCTCTGGCTTCTGGATGTCCCTTGGCTTGTGGCAGTGGAACACCAGTACTTACATGGTGTTCTTCCTGTGTGCATGTCTTCCTGTGTCCATGTTTTTCTCTTTAGAAGGCACAAGTCATCTAGCTTTAGGACCTCCTCATGGCCTCATTTTACCCTAATTACCTCTGGAAAGACCCTGTCTTTAAATAAGGTCACATTTTGACATACTGAGGTTAAGGACTCAACCACATTGTATTTTGGGGGCCATCAACCCAGACCATTGATAATGATAGTGCAATTTGCAGTGTTGAAGTAAAACTAAGCAGATTTGGGAAGTCAACAAAAACAGGAAGTTCATCAAGTTTATAGAGCATTTGCCTATATCATATGGTAAAATGCCCCACAGAATCAGAGTGAGTACAGTATTTTATGGGACAAGAGCAGGAAACCTCTGATTGAAAGCTTATAATTAATATTGAAAGACTTCATTTATTCATTCAAAATAAGTTTAAGTGCCAGAAATGACTTAGCAGGTAATTTTCATGACCTTTTTTTTTTAATCTACCTAGAAATCTACTTATCAGGCAAGAGAGAGGAAGAGGAATAGTTGTTAAGTATATCAGTAACTGAATTGCTTATGTTAATTTATCTGATCAAGAGGACATCATTTTATTTTATTAAATTTTTACTTCATTCATATTCATTTTTTATTGAATAACTATCAGGTTTATTTTAATTCAGCAGATAATTCAAAATGACCTTTAATATGGCTATTTTTTGTGCACATCCTTAATTATAATTTCCACTATAAAAATATCAATATCTGGTGGGAAAAACTTATTATTCTACCTTCTGGTAAGAACCACAGGAATAAACTTTATCTCCATCACTTTACCTTTTTTTTTTTTTTTTTTGAAAGCTGTAACAGATAGCATCTCAACCAAATGTGGATGTGCTTCAATTATATTTAAATTAGAATACTGGTTGCATGAATTTTGAGAAAAGGTAAAATTTATATATTTATTTCTGGAGAAACGTACTCTATGTATAGCAGAAAGTAGTTTTTAAAGAATTTTTGTTTGGATATACTCTCTAATATACATTAGAGAGTCAACAGTTTAATCAAAAGGAGGAAAGTGGAAAATAACTGAAAGAATAGTTTGGTGAAAAAAACACAGGTAGATAGCTTATACAAAGTCCCTTGCTCAGTTCCTGGCATCCTGTGGGAATCAACACATACAAACCTATCATTAAAACATACAGATGTTTTAAAAGAGAAATGAAACTTTCCCATTTCCAGGCTTCTATGTTTCTATTTACTAGAAAATTCTAGGTAAGGAGCCAGGTATGGTGGCACACACCTATAATCCTAGCACTTGGAAGGCTGAAGCAGGAGGATCTTGAGTTCAAGACTAGCTCAGGCTACACAGCAAGACTCTGTCTTGAACCTCTTCCCCCTTCCCCCAAAAAAGAGAAAGGCCAGGCATAGTGGCTCATGCCTGTAATCCCAGCTACTCAGGAGGCAGATATCAAGAGGGTCATGGTTTTAGGCCAGCCCTGGCCAAAAGTTAGCAAGACCCCATCTGAACTAATAAGCCAGGTGTAGTGGTACATACCTATGGCAGCTATGGGGGAGGCATAGGTAGGAGGATCTATAGTTCCAGGCCAGGCAGGAAGGCAGACTCTGAAAAATATCCTACAACAAAAAGGGCTAAGGGCACAGCTCAAGTGGTAGAGTGCTTGCCAAGCAAGAGCAAGGTCCTGAGTCAAACCCTAGTATCACCAAAACAAAACAACTCTCCCTGCCCCTACACCAAAGAAATAAAACAACAAAAACTAAAACAAACAAAATTATAGGTAAAATATCAGACAATTAGACTTCACTAAAACAAAGTATTGAATCTTGATAGTTTTTGGCAGCAAGATTGTAAGAAATTTAGAAAAGAAAATTTCTGCTTTCTAACCAATGATACAGGTCTTGACTGCAACTCTCTAGCCTGCAGTTTAGAATCAAATAGGAAAGCTGTTAGTGTGAGGCATTTCACTGTTCTGTTTAGTTTCATGCTGATCTTTACAGTGAGGGAGCTATTTCAGATTCAGGAGCTGGGCAGCACCGGGACCATCTCTGCGCTGAGTTCCAGAGGAGTGGCAAAAGTATAGCAATCTCAAGGAGAAGCCCTGACACTTCTTTAGAGGATACAGTACAGAATCAGAGTTAGGCAGACACAATTTGAACCCTAAAAGCAAATGACTGTTGTGTAATTAACCTCTTTATGGTTCATTTTTCTCACTTGTAAAATGGGCTTAATTCCTTGTGGGACTGTGGTGTAGGTTAGAGAATGTACACATGCATGCACATGTATAGAAGTCCATCTGGTGGAGTATCTAACATTTGATAAATGGTGGAGGTATTATTAGGATAAGCTTTGTTCTGGAACTAAATTAAACAGTCCTAAACAAAATCACTCTGGAATGAGGTGCAACATCATCATAGCTTTTCCAGGCTTGGAAATGGATTTGGAATATTACCCACACCCAAATACAGAGTTATAAACTAACTTGATTGGTTAGGTTAAAAAAAAAAAAAAAAGAAATATCAGGGCAAGGAAAGGAAGCATGAGGAAACAGAGGCCTGAACTTACTTCGCTCTTCTCTGTGCCTCTCAGTCTCTGCAAAGTATTGGCGGAGCTCATCGGTGATTTCCATATTGCTCAGGTCACATTCTATCTCCTCATCTGACTCCGTCTCCATCTCTTCTTCCTCTTCGGACAAAGCTTGGTCTTCTCTTTTGGATGTCTGGGTCCTCCTGGTGTCATGTGCAGGGTGCCCGGACTTTCCGAAATGTGAGTAACTGTAGTGAGAACCCTGCCAGGCCATATAATGGTCATCAGGACTTTGGGGCAAAAATGTAGGAGGGAAGGACCATGGGAAACTATAATAGGATGCCACAGCCTTCCTGTAGGCATTGTGGTGGCGTTGCATCCAAGCCATTGCTTGATAATAATGTTGCCAGTATCTCGCATACATCGGATGACAATACCAGGACGTGGTAGCTTTCGATGTAGATGCCTACAAAACAAAGGAAAGTGTAGGGCAGACACCAAACAGTTCATCCTCAAGAGAAATCTTCAAATGTTTGATAAACTAACCAACAGATATTTACTGAGGATCTACTAAATACCTACACTCTGTATGAGGATGCTACTGGGCCACAAAAGGTATACGATAGTTCTGTACCCACAACGGAAACCGTGTGTATATACACTTGATCTCTATGTATGTGCATATCAGGTACCAACAGGACAATTAGTTTAAGGTTATGGTGTCTTATAATGTGAGGACAAAAGCTAATAATGATCATTTTTAGATAAGACAGAGAGAGATAAAAGATCTGACACTATCATCTTGGCCATCTCTACTAGTTCCAAGTTATAAATGGCCTGTCAATTCTAACTGATTATCATGATAACCTTTGGTTCCTCTTCTGCTCCCTACTAACCTGCTGGCCCAGCCCACTCCCCAATGTCTGGGACAAGAGATATCTAGTAATGTATTAGATGGTGTTTTTATTTTTATTTTTCTGATGTACAGGTTGAGTATCCTTATCTGCAATGCTGGGACCAGAAGTGTTTTAGATTTCAGTGTTTTCAGATTTTGAAATGTCTGCGTAGAACTTTACTGGTCAAGCATTCCTAATCTGAAAATCCAAAATCTACAGCCTTTGGAGCGTAATATTGGTGCTCAAAAAGTTTTGGATTTTGGAACATTTTGGATTTTTGATGCTCAACATATATTTCTTTGGTCTCTATCACGGAATGAAAACATTAAGAATTTTTCTTCTTTTGTTAGTGCTGGGGATTGAGCCTCAAAACCCACGGCCTTGTACATGCTGGCAAGCCCTCTACCACTGAGCTACATTCCTATACCAAACATGAAGAATTTAAAGACTAAATTTTTTTTTAAACTCAGGAGATAAAAAAAGAAATCTTACCTGTGCTGCCATCTCTGATTGGGAAAGTCCAGGTGGGCACTGAAACTAGGAAAGAATAACCACTATGTGAATCAGTATGATCAGTACCACTATGGGATATTCATGACTATGTTGTGGTTTGAAAAGCAGCTCCTGGGAAGCTGCCTCTTGCCAGTACCATGCCTGAACCTCATGCAAATACCTACAAGACCATGGCAAATGGTTATGTCCTTGTGGTCTGAAAAGGAGAGATTCCCTTAGACATGATTATCTAAGTCAAAGGGCCCTAAATGGTTTTGCATTTAATTGCTGTTTTCCTACTGTAAGTAAAGTCTATGAAAATAACCATATAAATATTTAGTAGTATGTAAATACAAAATAGTACACAGAGCATGAATTTACAATGATTACTTTATTTACCAGTCCTTAAAATAGGTCAATGCCTATTTAAAATAAGCTACGGTTCTCCTGAGCCTTGAGTTGAATAGTGACTGGGAACCTCTGCTGGTTCTTGCCTTAGGTTTGGGACTTGCAGAAGCCTCTTCAAACAAGACATCTGTCCAGCCTCAAGTGTACTCCAGACTTTAAGCCCCTCAAATGGGCCTTGTTTTGGTTTATGTTTCAGTGAGCATGTGCTCACTGAAGGACACCACACATGCTCTCCTTTCCTAAGCACTGTTTCTTCGCAAGAGGAAAAACAGTTCCATTGGAGGCACTGTGTAGACTGCCTTTGACAAATAGCATCACTCTGCCAGGATTACTCCTTTCCCCACCACCTACTTACCTGTTGTGATTTACTGAACCACTGAATGAAATACCTAAAGGTATTTATAACCTATTTAAAACAGACTTGATTTTCTTCCTGTATTCAGGAGTTCAGAGATACTAAAATGCCTGGCTACACCAGAATGTACTTAGTGCATGCGAATTTAAGCTTCTGTGAGACAAAACCACTAACAACTTGATGCTAAATGAACAGCTACTTAGGTTTTGGAACTCTGGGAATCAGATACTGAAGGAGTCCTAATTTTCCTACTTATTTTGTAATTTCTATCATATGTTTTGTGATGGCTATGCTAAAAACTGAGCTCTTCTATCTAAAGAGAACTATTCATATTCTTTTAAAATATAACAAGCTTTCAAATAAGTTATTTCTAAAAGGGCTGACCTGATCTGTAAATTTATCTTAACCATAGCCCACACGTCCTGTTCCCTGTCTAAACTTCAGGAATGTGCACGTACACAGTGGCTGCAAACTGGAAAAAAAAGTTAACAAACACAGTCAAAGTGTAAACTGGATTCACAGTACTTTTCAGCTATCATCTGAAGGCTTAAAACATGAGCAGTTACCAAAAAACTTAGCTAGTGTGAAACAAAGCATTCAATAGATGGGTGTCTTACCACCCAAAGAAATAAAACTAACACAAATGAAATTATGGCAGAAATGAATACATACTCAAGTGCTAAACCACATACTGAAGTGCACATACTCAAGTGCAAACTGTAAGTGGCTAATTCATTAGAACCAGGTTTCATATTTCTATCACTGAAATCTGAATAGCTTTCTGACAGCCTGTAGCACATAACAGCATCAAAGTGAACTCCATGTGCATCTTAATCAAATTTGTTTTATAGATTAGCAAGTAGCATAGGAATTAAATTAGAAAAGTCTAGGAGACATCTGTGTGCCTTCTGAAAATTATGAGTTTGAATCCCAGCAGGATGTGTTGATGCATGTCTGTGACACTAAAATTCAGGAGGCAGAGGTAGGAGGATCACAAGTATGAGGCCAGCCTGGGCTACACAGTGAGACCCTGTCTCAAAAAAATAAAAAAGCTTTGAATTTAGAGTTCTTTCTATGCCTTATAAGACAGTTAGAACCAGGTCAATTATCCTGAATTAGGAATTCTGATAGGCTCATATCTGTAATAAACATCACTGTGAGTGAATACTATTCTAGTCCAAATCCAGTTTTTATATAGTTGGGAAAATCCAGCCTGGCCTTAAAGGTAGTAACATCAATATTCTGAAAACCCATGAGCTGTCTACGAGAGGCTCCTTTGGTAGAGCTAGTTTAGGTATGTATGATAAAGCAGATGACTGTTGAAGAGGTTCAAGGGCAACTCATGATGTTCTCTTAGCTGCTCAAATGTCAATGGCTGTGATTAAAATGGGGGGAGGAGCACTAATTTGAGGAGAGGTTATTTATAATTTTGGGTCAACAAATAATTTGCTAGAAGGGCTTCCCTAATACACAATCACAGAGATCACTCACTATGAGCATTTTTGCAAGAAAAAAACCAGGAAAATCAGCTGAGATCACGGAAGAAAGTCAGTTTCAGCTTTTTAAGCAGAGGCAGTTCAGATTCAGCCCATGTAAAAGACATATTAACTAATCAATCTATTTTTTTTTTGTGGTATTAATTGAACCCAGGGCCCCATCCATGCCAGGCAAACACTCTATCACTGAGCTATACCCACAACCCAGGTGCTAGGCTGCTTTAAAACCCGGCCATAAAGGGAAGATAAATTTATGTTAACAATGGAATACAGGCAACTTTGCAAGCAATTTTGTTCGCTTTTGAATAATAAGTAGCACAGGAATTCAATTAGTTTTGGCTACTGGGATACTTATAATCACTTTTGCTGACATCCTTCAGGAAGTTTAGTGTCACTGGGGCCAAATGTCAAAACTGCTCATTTCACTCTCAGCTTTATTATCGCCCCCCCACTCCCACCCCAGCAAATCCCCAAACCTATTTGTCATGTCTTTTATATTTTAAGTGTTTGTAAAATCACTAAAATCCAACAGATATGCAAATTAGCCACTTTAAATGACTGATTTGAATTTAAAAATTAATCTTTCAAAATCAAGTAAGATAAAAATATGTCTAAAGGAACAGCAATTTGTACAGAGCTTTACAATCACTAATTCAGTATTTCCAGGATTACTGTTCTTATTTTATGCTAGCATTTTGTTCTGTAAAGATTCAGATAGTAAATATTTCAGGCTTGTAGGCCACAATCTTTTCATATAATGTTCATACTTTTCTTTGCTAAGAACTCCCCCTACCACCACCAAACATCCCTTTAAATATATATAAGCACTATTTCTAGCTCCCTGGAGTATAAAAAACACCCCTGTTTTTACATTAACATATTAAGTTGTATACTCTGCCCTCGATATATCAAACATCCTAATTGCTCCTCAATTTGCACTTGGAAGTTAGTGGAGGAACTGTGCAAGTCTCACACATTTCACAAATTATTAGGCTCTGAATAAGACTAGTGGATACAAGAAAACTGATTAGGATCAATGGCAATTTTGGAGATCAGTTCCTAATATTCAGTGAAAAGAAAAAAAAAAAGTCTCCATGACTAAATAAATTGGACCATTTCTTACAGTTTGTCATAGACATTTAAAGACATAATTAAAAACAACAAAAAAAGACTGTCTATAAAACAGAATCAATCAACAGGATTAGAAAACATAAGCAGTGCCATGGTTTCTGACAAAGACCTTGTTAACTGTCACTGCTAGACAGAACCACAGCAAGGACACAACGCAGAACGGAGTTCTGAGTATCTACACCCCAGAAGGAATATATATATTCATCCTTGCTAAGAAATCAGTTCATCAGTTCCCATCAATTAGCTCCCAAGGGAAGAAGAGAAAGTCCTCTGAAAATGGATTCTGTTAACTTTTTAAAGCTGGTTATTTTGTCCATGTAGAGGGCTTAAGGACCTCATAAGAATGCCTGAGTTTCTAAAAAGCCAACATTAAAACGATCCTAGGCATTCCAGCAACACTTTCAGACCCCACCTCTTCTCAAAGAAAAGAAAGCTATGGGTACAGCCTTTTCCATGGTTTTTTATTTTATGCTTTATTCCCCACCTCCCAGGAGTCTCTTACTTTTTTTATGGCACAAGCCTTCGTGAACTGAACAACTTGTTCCCTAATGGGCTGGCAGAGCTGAGAGAAAAAAGATTGGCAATGCTAGGGAAGGCCGGATCCAAGCTCTACAAACTGGGCAGCTCTCCCCAGTGAGTACAATGGCATCATGGTCACCACCCAGCTGAGCTGGGGTGAGTACAGAGACCATTCATTGTCAGTCCTCCACCACCAAAGAAGGAAGGAAAAAAACAGGGCTGAGGTCATTCACTGAACATTGCCGAGGCCTACAGGCGAGACAGAGCCAAGTCTTGAATGATGTATTTTCCCATCTAGTCTTTCTAAAAAAATGCATTTTATTCTACAGAGTCTGCCTACTCTAGAAGACATGTTTTTAGATGCATTAAGTATAGATGAAGAACAACAGAAAAGAACTTTGTAGTTTTCAATTGATAAAATGTGACTATTTCCATCAGGTTACTAAAAAAATCCACATATAAGTAATGTGGCTTTGTTGAAAGGCAGTGGCTTAAGACATTTTTTTCATTGCATATGTATATTCTTATAAATATAGGATCTAGGACATGTTATGGCAACCAGATAAGTAAAATAAAAACACAAAATCCCCTGTAACTAGATTTTTCTTTCTACCTTATAAGCCTTTCTCACTAGTATCCTGAATACTCATTTACTTTGACTTTTACCTAGAAATATATTAAAAGCCAATCATTAAATCAGTTACTCTGGCTAAAGCCCCCAAAGTCCAAACTTTCCTATATAGGTTTCCACAGATTTGGCTGAGCCAACCAGATAATTTGGGGATCTAATTAAGGCCTTTAGAATATACTGCTGCAAAGTACAAGGAAGAAGGTGTGTTGAAGGCTGCTTTAAAATAAATGAAGGCATGGTGAGAAACTGAGTCATGTGATTCTATGAGATCTTTCAAACATACGATGCTGTCAGAGAACCATATAATATAAACACTATAGGAACTTCAATTACAGAAAATACTAATAAAATGGGGATTATTATTATTATTTTTTAAGAGCACTGCTTCCTGCCTAACTTCTTGGATGGGCTTGCTGCCACCACTAGCTGGTTGCTGAGGCTGGCAAGCTTAACCAGCTTGATGCCCTCACAGGCTCCCTTCTGTGGCTTTGCATGGTTCCTGCTTAGTTATTTGAACATCAAAGATGGCACAAGTCTGAAAAGTTGTCTTCCACTTGAAGGAGGAGTCCAAGTTCTTTCAACTGGACAAAGGCCTATCACAAGTACACATGCCACTGTGTTTAGAAAGCTTGAACCTTCCTGTCTATCACAACTACCTTGAAAACTGAGGAGTGAGGGAGCCATAAAACAACTGAGTCTTATTTCCTTTTTATCCTCTCAACCCCAAGCCCCACTTTATCCTGTTCTGGATGTTGCAAACTAGAATTGTCACAAAGAAGGCATTAGCATGGGGAAGAAGACTGAAAGGATGCAGTTAACAATTTTTCTTTTTTCCCATATAAATGACATTCCACTCACAGAAGGGCATTGTTTAATTTGTCAGCAAGGGTCATGGATTTGTAAATGGATTTATTTGCAAGTTCACTGAATTCCTACATGACTAGCTTCAGAGTCAGAAGTTAACTATTAGGCCATGAAAAAGTGAAGTTATCCTCTGACTTACGAACACAACAGGCAATGGGAGAACTCAAAAACAGTATAACTGATAATAGCATAATGATAATGCAATTGAAAAGAAACAGATGAAGTTGGTTTCACTTCAGGCATGTCTTCCATACAGCAAAACCTAGTGACGATAAAGGAATAAGGACTGAATAAGCAGGTATTGCAAACTAAGGGGTATCAGCAAAAACTGTGACTAATTTAAATAGTTAAGACCACTTTTTACATTTCTAGAGTCTTGTTCCAAGTTTTCTTTTTCTGTGAACATATTCATGGTAATTCCATGCTAATCTCTCTCTTTTCTGAAATAATACAGCACTTACGCTTCACACATTTGGGCATTTAATTACTTGTAGGCAAAGATTCTACAATTTATTCCTTTTAAATTGCCTACTAGCAAAAAAAAAATAGCTCTTATTTCTTGCCCTTGGATGCTTCTGAAATTGTGTATTCTGATAACATTCTCTCCTCCTACATCTACTCCCCGAAATAACTGAGGAGCTAGTAACTCAAATAACTGACTATAAGGCCCCAAATATTTTCAGGAAGCAAATGTTTAAATACATTAATATTTTCAATTCATCTGGCCTTAAATCAACTAGTGTAACATTCTGTATCCACCTGTCCAACTGCGGTTTTCCAAATGTAGAGAAGTAGTTCTGTTCTTGTTTTTGCTGATGGTATTGAGTTTGAACTCAGAGCTTCGCGCTTGCTAGGCAGGCACTCTACCACTTGAGTCACAACTCCAGTTCAGAGAAGTAGTTCTGAGAGTTCTGTACCTAGTGTGTGACTTCACCTACCTACACTGTAGTCTTAATAGCTCAACTTCCCCCATCCTTTTCATCTCATATTTACATACTGGATCTTAAGAAACAAATTATCCTTCATCTGTAAAACAGCTTTAGAATGAAACTTTCTCCCTGGAACTTTAGTTTGTGTATGTTCCCAGCACAACAGTGAACACACAAGAGGAAATTCACACACCTTACTATGAATTTGCCTATATTTAAGGTTACGCAAAGGTACCAACAATCTTTTAAAAATATATGGTTTCTGAGCCAGGCATGGTGGTGCATGCCCAACATTCAGGAGGCTGAGGCAGGAGGATCTGAGTTTGAGGCCCTCTGGGCTACATAGAGAGTTCAAAGCCAGTCTGAACTACACAGGGAGACCCTGTCTCAAATAATCAAGGGCTGGGGATTGTAGCTCAGTGGTAGAGCATGTGCAAGGCCCTCATTTCAATCCTCAACACCACAAAAGAAAGAAAAAATGTATATATATATGGTTTCTGTTCACACTGCTATCTCATAGGGATTTACTCTAAGAAATTATACTAGTATAAATTGTATAATTTATATAAAGAGTATCCCCAATCCCACAATTCAAGGGAGCGATCAGAAAGCCTTGTTTGTGTTATTAATCTTTAGTGTAGATTTTTCAAGTAATGTTGCTTTGAGTTAAAGTTGAAAACAGCTGAATACAGAACCTAGCCTGTGAAACAAAATTTTAACAATCATTTCTGGAAAAACAAAAAACAAAAACCTGCTTAGAACCATTTGAACTAAGGGAATCTCAGGATTTCAGAGCTAAAAGGCACTTCATGATCCACTGGATCAACTCCCACCACATTACTATGCAAGAAAACCGGACAAAGGCGTTTTCTATTTACGGATCACAGCTGCAGCTGCCACATGTTCACAAGATAACTTCCACTAAAAACTCTGACCTCCCACAGAAGTCAAAGTGCGAGGGAAAAGGAAAAATAAAACCCTATTTTATTTTTATCAGACAGGCCAGTATCCTAGACATCCTTCCAAAGATGTATCCTGAACAATCTTCTATTCAGATATTGGACTGGATAGGAAAAACCCACATTCATCTACAGACCTAACACGGTGATTCTCAGAACATTAGAATCACCTGGAGAGTTAAAAAAAAAAGTTCCCAATGCCTGAGCCTCATTTCTAGAAACTAGGACTGAAGTGGTGTGGGATGGGGGGCCCGGGCACCAGAATTCCTACCAGTAATCCAGTGATGTGGAAGCTCAAGAGTTGCGAGTCTCTAGAACTAGTCTCCTCTAACAATCTGCAAGGATTTAGGAATATCTCATCGGCTTCTGTCCCACTTTTGCCGCGGGATGATAATTACGACAACATGACCGCCAAGACTCAGGCTCTCCCTGTCTCTGAGGATGCCAGGCCCCGGGACAACCAGGTTCCTCCCTTACTGCCCCAAAGAAACCCAGCTGTCCCCAGAATCACCTCGTAGCCACGCGGCTTGCTGATCCCGGGCTGTGGGCCTGCAGGGAACTATTTTCGGTGGGCAAACGAAGGGGGGGCGGGAAGGGCTGTTGCCCGGCAACTAAAAGCGCGCTTCCGGTACAGGTTCACTACGGCACGCCGGAAGTCCCGCCTACGCCGTGGACGTCATATTCACCGCGAGGGCTACGCAACACTAGGGGGCGGGGTACGAGCTGGGAATCTGCACTGTGGGGTGGGGCGTGGACATGAAGGGTGGGGAGAACGTGGGCGGAGAATTGAGTGCTGAGCCAGGTGCTGGTACTGGCGCGAGTACGACAACGGGGACCCTGAGTGTGGCGGAACAAGAAGGCGAAGGTTGCTTTTGCATGGTCCCAGTCCCTGTCCTTGTAACTTTTTTTCTTGTTCTCAACTCTCATTTTTGTTCCCTTGTCTGTAGCCTTTCATCTTAACCAAAACGGAGGGTGGAAAATACCCGTGCTTTGAAAATAGATTGACCTAGATCTGCGTATGAGTGCGATTCCAGTCTTAGTTTATTTAACCTCTCCAGTCTGGTGGTTCTCATCCCTAAGATGTGCATAACCTACTGTATGGGTGCATTATAGCAGACAAAACACTCGCTGAGTGGCTCAAGTGGTAGAGCGACTACCTAGCAAGCATGAGGCCCTGAGTTCAAACTCCTGTACCACCAAAAATTAAATAAATAAAGTACCTATTGGTGTTTTGTCGTAATTATCACCAGCAACATCTGCCCTGTTTAGTGTCAGGAAAGTCTTAGTAATCAAGCATAAACCAATGGAAGTCTAAGTGGCATACTCTTTCTGGGGTAATTTGGCAAAATGCGGCGAGCCCTAAAAAGGGGCATACTCTGGGCATTTATTTATTCCAAGGAAAAACAAAGCATGAACTGGTTGTTTAATGTAGAATTCTAAAAAGTGAAAGTTGGAAATAACCTAAATGCCCAAAAAGAGGAAATGGTTAAGACAATTAGGCAATATCAGCGGCAGGACATTATTACCATGTTATTCCTAGACCATAGAAGAATCAAAATGATTCTGAAGATCACTTAGGACATACAGACTGGATGCCCACTATGTGCCAAGTATTATTCTATATTTGCATTGTCCATTGTGGCCGTGAGCTCTATGTGACTGTGAGACTTGAAACGAGATGTGCTGTTATGATAAATTACACACTGGATTTTGAAGAATTAGTGTGAAAAAAACAATGTAAAGTATCTCAGGGAAAGACTGTTTAGGTTAAATAAAAGGCTAAAAATAATTTCGTTTTAGTTTTTTACTTAATGTGATCACTATAACATTTAAAATATTTGTGGTATACATTTTAACTATTGGGGAGTGTTAGTCTATTTACTGGATGTACAGTGGTGAACAAGACAGTTTTGACCTCATAAAATTACCAATGTATTGGGTGAAGTATAGACATAAAAGAAATAATATAATTGTGTGTGATGGTAAGTTATATGAAGAAAATGTACGGTAAGGGCCAGAAAGTATATATGCCAAGGGAGATAATTTTAGACATGATTCTTCCTCCACTTCAGAAAATGTACGTGGTTTGTAGGAGGATTGTGGTTTGAGGCCAGTCCAGGCAAAATAGTGAGACACTATCTCAAAAAACAAGCTGAGCATGGTGTGGCATGCCTATGATTCCAGCTATGCAGGAGCATTGAGGTGTGAAGTCAAATTATGAAAGAACTATATGAAAAATTAACTAAAGCAAAAAGGGCTGGGGTGATGGCTCAAGTGGTAGAGAGCTTAGGCAAGTGGGAGGCTCTGAGTTCAAAACCTAAGACAGCTAAAAATAAATAAATAAACGTGGTAGGAAATGAGTTATGTTAGTTATCTATGGATATTAAGGGGTGAGGGTTGAGGTGTGTTGTCTTCTGGGAAAAGTCAGGTATATATTGAAGCAGGTGAGTCATTCAGGGCCTTCCATGCATCAGGGAAGAGAAGAGGTAAGATAACAGGAGAAAGAGGTGTATACACCCCACTCCCCACACACACTTAGTATTAGCTAAGCCATTGCTGCTATTTTGTCTGCTGCCACAGAGACTCAGAAGAGAGGCTCAAATCCTTGTCTCTCATCAGTCTGGGTGTAAGGAGTACAGGGCAGTGCGGCAACTCCATGAGCTCTATCTTGCAGCTCTACCCTCCCTGGTTTCTTGCCTTGGCCCACATGGTCCAAGTTGTACCCCCATTGCACCTTTCTTCCAGCCAGTGGGGAACAGGGCGGGTGGTGGGGAGGAAACTGGGATATGCCCCTTTCCTTTAAGGTAGTGTCTCCACCCCAGCAGTATTTACATTTGGAGCTGAATAATTCTTTGCCCTGAGGGCTGTCTTGTATACCCTCAGTTGTGACAACTAAAAATGTCTTCAGATGTTGTCAAATGACCCTTGGGGGCAGTCACCCTAGTTTAGAGTCCTTGCCTTAGAATTTGTCTACAACACTTTTGTTTACATCCACTAATGGGCTGAACTTCAGTATTCAGCCATCCAAAGGATAAAGAAGGCTTGGAATTTTCTGTCTTTCAGGTGCCCTGGTGTTCAGGTAAAAGTTAGCTGAAGAAGACAAGAAGCTGCAGAGTCTCCCATCCCCTCTTTGCTACAAGGAATGGAAATTCTGTAGCTCATTGAGAAGTGGCTCTGTTCATCTTCCAGGCTGAGTTTTAGTTATTATTCATTTTACTAACTTGCATAAAAATATTGGTGGTGGGGAACACTAAGCACCTAATAGGTAAGAATCCTTATTTGAAAAGGATGCCCGTTACTCCAGAGGAAGAAGTGAATTCTCCAGTGGTTGCTAGAGGAGTTGATTATATTTATATTTTAGCACCATCTGTGGAAATTTATAAATTCTACTATTCCTCATCTCTTATTTGGAATTTTCTTACATTTGTCACAGGCTTACACTTCAAATTACAAATAACCCTTACATAGGAAAACTTTAAAGTGTTCTCCTCTCAGATGATGAACTCTTTAAAGCATGATCTTACACCCTTGACACTACTGACAGTTGGGGCTGGATAATTCTTCACTGTGGGGGCTGCCTTGTGCATTATAGGATAGTTAGGAACATCCCTAGGCTCCACTCACTGAATGTCCCCCATCCCAATTTGTGGCAATCAAAAATCTTTCCAAATGTGCCCAGGGGCCAGAATTGCCCCCAGTTGAGGCTACTCCTTTAAACAAGGCATGCAAAATCCCATGGTGTATTAAGGGTGTGTGTCACAGTAGTCCACATCAGAGTATACTGGCAGTGGCCTGTCTGGAAGGATGGGAAGATGGTGCTCAGACAAATGAAGCTCTGGATGTAGCAGGACATGACCTCATTTTCACACTTTGTGGAACTTTGTCCCTGCTCATCCCAACGGTAGGAGGTGAGATTTGCAGAGGATGTTGAAAGGCACAGGGAGATGTAGTTTCTTTAAATCTTACACGTTAAGGAAGTCTACAGAGGCTGTTACCCAACATAGGAAGTAGCATAGAATAATCTTAGACTGTGTACCCAAATTTCCCCTCAAGGATGTACAGTTGCTAGGTGTGGAGAGCTATACCTAATCTCATGGACCTTTTGGATCCCACCCTCCCTGACCCAGGACCCAAGTGTTGTGGAGAAACTGGTTGGAATCAGTCCCCTTGTATAGGTCAAGTAAGTGGTGCCCAAACCACATACAAACAGTCCAAAGTTCTTACTTCAAAGCTGAGTAAAGAACAATTTTCTAGGAGCACCCTCTAGCAGGCTCAGGCTTCACAAGCCTCCCAGGTCCTCTCCTAAGCTGTCTCCTTGATTTCACTTTGTTTTCAAGAGCCTGTCCTACTAGTCAGACCCTCTCTTTCAGAAGATGTTCTCGCCTATGATGAGGAAGACCAGGCATGCATTTCATCACTTCCAAAAGTATCACTGTTTGATCTCTGTACTCACTGTACCTTTTGTTGCTTCTGCCTATGCTAATCCAGCCATGGCATTTCTGATCTTATCCTACATCCTCACAGCATCTCATGCTCTCATTATGTACCTTTCTCTACTATCATCACCTCTCTCTCTCTCTCTCTCTGATCCCTTTTCCATTAGCAGCAAACGTGCTCAAGTCCTCCGATCTTTAAAATAGGGTGTGGATCTTTCATCCCCTTCTCCTTACTGTTCTAGCTTCCATTTCCTTCTTTGGGTCGTACTTCTGTAAAAAGTGGTTACCTTTATTCTTTCACTTTATTTCTTTCATTCCACTACCCTTTATCTTTCAGTTCAACTGTCTCTCTGACACCACTGTGGACTTTCCCCTATCTGCGGTCTACTATTCTTTTGCCTCTCTGAAGTATTTGATACTATTGACTATTGACCCTGTTTTCTTTCTTTGCAATTAGACCCCCGCCCTGCAGTGACATGTGCTTAATGCAAAAAACAAAACACACAAAGAAAACAACCACTAGAGCAAAACCACAAATCTTGGAACACCCAAGCAATTTAAGCACAGGAAAATTATAAAAATCACTCTTAAGGTTATTACTTCAAATAACCACTCTTTATTTTACAGTGTATGTTTTCCCGGTTTTGTTTTATATCAGTAAAATTTTCAAAGTTCTTATTAGCATATATCAGCTGTAAAGGCGATTTCACTGTCACATTTTGATATATGCTTACAATGTACCTTGTATCAGTAAATTATACCAATCTCTGTCTCATGCACATGTATAAACTAAATAGCTCTTGTTGGAGATGCAATTATACAACTCTTCCCTAAACAGCTGACTATATAACAGAGGTACAGGATGTTTAGTAAAGTATGACCTTGGGATCAACACCTACTGAAGGCAAAGGAAGGAACAGGATTGGGTAGTTTCTCAAACTGTGCCATATTGATGTATTGGACTGAGAGTACTTGTGATGAGGGTGTTCTGTGCACTGTAGGATGTGTAGCAGCATCCTGGCCTCTATCCTCTGCTGTCAATAATACCTCTCCCACATTGCCAAATGCCCTAGGGTTTGGTTGTCAGATTGTCCTCAGCTGAAAACCACTGGGGTAGAGAGAGATGAGAT